CGGATTCTATTTTAGTCACCATAGGAGAAACCTGTGATTCAAACGTAGTCTGGGGTATCTCGACAGCTGGCTTCCAAAAACCGACGGCTTTCGCAAAAACTTTTTCATCTGGCCTCCCTTGGCCAGTTGTAGATTTTTCGGAGCGTGCCAATAATGCCAGATCAAAGGAAGGACAATCTTCACAAGGAATATGATCTTTGGTGTGCAAATGAATCTTTTCACGGCAACTCGGAGAGAGTTCCAGCTGTTTAACACTTTCTGTGGATGGATCACAAATCAAGGTAGTCACTAAAGGTGTGTATGAAGAGTCAGGTGTAATCACAGGGGTATTATGCGGCTGCTCCAAGACTGATAGCTTACCCTGAGTGGAGCTTTTATTCAGGTCGAGCTGAATAGTGGAAAGTTCATTCGATTTAAAGCTAAAACCAAGTAGGGAAAATATGTTTCAAAGGAATAAAATTGAAGTGTATAATTTATTCAGCTTTCAAAATAATAAAACAGGATTACAAATGAACTAATAATTGAGTATGCTAAAGGAGTTTTCCTAATTCGGAGCAGAACCTTAGTATATTAAATGAAGTTTGGTCATGATTAAAGTGAAATGTGACTAATAAAGAAATTTCTGACATCAAACTGAAGGAAAGGTCTCACAACTCCACTGAAATTCACTGGCCTTTAAATACTGTGCTCATCAAAACTGGGCTACAGTTTCACCCAGCCCCGAGTCGGATCAGCAAACCCAATAGGATTATAAATTAGGTCATGTGCATCATGTGACAATGCTGGTGTTTTATCATATGGCTACGGATACCAACAAAACAAAGGTAAGCCAGACCCCTTCATGTTCTATACTAGTAGTAGACTTTTCGGTCGGACAAAATTGTACTTACAAATAGAATCGACGTAATAAGGCGTCAAAATTATCAGTAATATTATATTATTCTCTATAAATTTATATATACAACAGTTATAGAAGATAAGCTTTAACATTCGAGTCAGCTAATTTAAGAGAGAGACAAATTAAACTTATGTAAATTTGAAATAAATAAGAAATTGACGAGGCCGGAAAAAGAAAGTACCGTATCAATATGCTAAAAGCACTGGATACCGTAGAAAATGATGCATTATTCAAGCTGATTAGTAAAAAACAAAAATATATCATGAACTCCACGAATTAAGGAACTTTAATTTTTACTGCATAACATACGCTGAAGAATACGAAAGTCAGACTCGTAATTTCAAATGTAATAAGCACAATAGGAAATGAGCTCAAAATAGCATGTTGAATGAATTTCACTGGTATAAGTTGGCTATCTAGAATATTTTAGCAAATTTTTAAACAATTCTAGATTTTACGTTTCCAGGTGAATTTTCAGTTGCTACAAAATTGCATGACTAAGGGCAATTTAATTTATTACGTGAATAAGATCTGGATTGAATAAGGCCTACAACAAATTATTTATTGAAAAAATGATAAGCTTCTCGAGTGAGATGGGTACCTATGGATTTGAACTTTCCCAAAATAACGCTTAATTAAAGGGGAATAAAAGTCAACAAACATGGCAACTCGTTATATATCATAGATTTTGTTACAAGGCGAGTTTATAGTAATGTTCTTAAAGGAAATAGGTTGCTTTTACAGAATATTCTAGTACTATAACGGCAAACTATTTTTTTTATAGGATAACTAGTATCAATGGGAGCAGTTTTATCTATGACTCCACTATCTTATTAAGAAGCAACATACCGATTTATTGAGTCTGCATCGATTCTAAAAATGTCTGGCTCGTAAGATGATTTCTGCTCCATGGTGATAAATTTGCCATCTGATAGAGGGCTAGAATGTTCATCTTGTTGCTTCTGACGTTGTAGGAGCAGTTGTAGATGGTGCTGGTGATGCGGTTGTTGTTGATGATGTTGGTTATGATGCTTCTGAACTGGTTTTGTCTCATCTGTTTCTTCCTCAAATTCTTGAATGGTTTCTTTGCTCATATCTGCGGAAGCGGCTAGCCCCATGTTGTCAGGCTCCAATCGGATACTCTCGGATGAGATGACCGCTGCTAAATTCTTGACAATAGAACAAGGCAGGTGAGTCCCTCCATTGGAATTGGTTACCTGTTCTGATAAAATACTAGCTGTAG